TGGAAAGTACCATGCTCGGAATTTCTCATCGCAAGCAAGTGCAGAAGGAAATCCGGAGTTCCGAGCTCCGTCATCGAACGAAGATCAGGGAGCCGTTGATTACGCAAAAAAATCGAAGATCAGGGGGGCCGGACACGTCATGCGATATAGTGATGACCGTTGACCAGGTCGGTTACTGACTGGATCCCTCGGGACATCAAACGAACTCCATGACAGGAATGGTCAGACTTCTTGAAAGCTCTGAACGAAAGAAATGTTTGACCTGAAGCGAAGACGATTCAACGGGACGACAGGTGATACAGGTGAGAGAAGGTAGAACGTGTTACATGGGAAGAGAATGCAATGGCAAACGCAAAACTATGTCTACCTATTATACCCATTACTAGGACATCTTTCCCGATGTTTGCGCGTATTTTTCAAACATCTAATTGTTCGCGCTTGCAAGGGCTGAAATTTTCTTGAATTATCGGGAAAAAACTCATCTCACATCGACGTACTTTGTTGAAGTCAAATTTATGCTCAGCCAAAAAGGTGACTGCAGAAGTTGATATTGAAAATTCTTTCGGAGGGATACTTTTAAAGAGAGTAATACAGAATGCGTCCGCTCGATATCTGAAAACAGCCATGAGTAGTTCATATCCAATTACTACGGTCAACTCAAGCAAAAAAATAAATAAATTCCGCGAATTGATAAAAGAGTTTGAGAAGTGACTCCATCCCATCCTCGGAGTCTCCATTTCATAATGCAACTGTTTTCAAACGATCTCCAAGTTCAATCCACTCAACGAGATCGTCATTTTTTGGAACAAAGCCGATAGGAACAAGTTGGGCAGATCCCTTAGGTCTGGTAAAGAGTCTAAATTGCAATTTGAATAATAAGTAAATTTCGATCTTATCAGAAGAGGTTGGGTCATTTGGATGATGAGCTGTGTTTGATGGGAATTCAGAGAAGAATTCACTCCGAGTCCAGCGTTATGTCAATAGTAAATTATGCCTTTCCTATTTGCGGATACTGGACGTTTTCTTCAGTGAGTCGCTTCAAGTCTGAAAACTTCTCACTGTGCCGGAACACCTTGATGGTTAAGCTGATTCGGAGCAGCGCAAACTAATAAATTCCAACAGAATTTCGCCGAACACAGCAACATATGCCTTCCAAAAGTCGTATGTATCCAGTGCAGCAACACTACCCTGTATGTTAAGCAGACAATTTTCCCAAGCGTTACTTATGCGTATCTTGCAGCATGGTTCGAGTGCCAAAGATCCACGAAACTGCCCTTAATCATGCCACGATCTCTTCTGTCGAAAAACCAGACTATTCTTCGAAAACTAAAGCCGACGAACCGGTAGATCGTTGCAAGATACTGATAATGGGGGACTACATCGCAAGATAGCATTACTACATAGCATTACAGGAATACAAAGTTAAACTTCTCCTACTGAGGTGTAGGTTTTTATTGGCACGAAGTTCTGCAGGGGACAAATATTATAAAAAAAAAAACAAAAAGACAAACATTGCTTCTTCATCGCCTTCCTGGTAGCACACCAGACCCAGCTGGCACGGCGGGAATCGGCACACAGCGTCACGCAACTTTCTGTAGCGATCAGACGGTGTATCGAAAAGTGACGAAGCACATTCGTTCAATGCAGAAGGCAGACCAAGGAACTCACAGTCAAAAGCTGAAATGACTAACAGTTTCCGGGTATAACAAAAGCGAATTTCAAGTGCTGTGGTTAAGGCGTTTGGTTTGAGGGTCATAACGAGCGGCAGGGAAGTTTGAACGATTGTTTGCACTAACTAAAGGCACAGTTCACGATGATTTTGGGTAATCCAGATTATGATGAAAAATGAAAGACAATATCGGAAATAGTGCGATGAGTGTGAAGAAACTGCGTGGATCGGTGTCTTCAAAGTGAAATAAGGCTTCGAAAAATCGTTCGAAAGAGGGCCTGACGAGAATGAGACCAAAGAAATGGAGAAGAGCGGGGCGTTTGGACGAGCTATGCAATGTGCCTCACTGCGTACGTGTGGGTCCTGGTGCGAATCACAGACTACGGTAAGCAAAAACTCATTCACTGTAAGCCGCGCTGTCGCTGTACCGGCGCAGCGATCATATGTTGATGTTTTCAGATGACTCATGGAGGAATTTCAGGGCGGAGCGCGGAGCAAGAGGACGACATCGAGGAGTCGACGAGGTTCTCTATCCACGAGCGGCACCTACCATCCCGTTAGCGCCATGGGGGCGTAGCCCTGGCCACCAATATCATATCCCATCGGGACGATCTACTTCTGCATGTAGCTCTCTGTCTGATTAATCCGATGTCCACATTCTTTGTGTTGTTACATTCCATTGGATGTTTTTATTCGTTTGTGCCTCACTTATGATTTATGTCGGTTGATTTGCAGATAAATTAGCTTAATCGTAGTAGTTTCTCCACAGAAGTAGTCGTTAGGCACGCTCCGCTGTGCGCGCGAGCTTACTTCACTTATAAGTATAAGAAACCAAAAAACCCTAGTAACAGCAAAAGTAGCTCACCTTTTTCAGCCTCTAGGAGTAGGAAACTGAATAGGGGATCGCGGCAGCAAAAAGAATAACAGAGGGAAAAAGAAAGAGAGAGA